CCCATGGTCACGATGGGGCGCACATCAGAAGCCCTGTACCGCTAGTAGCCAAGACCCCTCCTGGCTCTGAAACACTCTCATGGCTCTCAAAACGCTGTACCAAGGGAATACACGCTTATGAACTCCTTGTTCTCAACGGGACTGAGGGGAACACATGGGGTGACTGGTTTGAGGTTGCCCAGAAGCAACCTGGGATCAAACCAAGGTCTAGTGAGCCGCAGTTCAGTGATACAGTCAAAACATCTCCTTCACCTCCACAGTAGGATGGGAGCGTCCCCTTCCTTTCCTCAGCACCGCCATCCTACCTAGGCACTACCACGCACAGGAACAAGGGAAAAGGCTACACATTTGATGCATTTCAAGTCTGAAGGAACATCACCGTTTCCCTTTTTAGTGTGTATCACCACGCTCTGGGCAATCTGGCCTACAAACACTGAAAATAACTTCCTGCCAGAAAGTGACTGCTTGACATCTTGCTCTAAGGCTACTTAAATCTGCATGAAACATGTTCTTCATCGTCTTCCCATAATTCCAGAAAGCACAGGCTTGAAACTAAACAAAACAAACCCAAAGACAGACACAGGGTGGGATCAAGCAGACAGGACCCCTACAGTCTAGGTCATGTTCTACTACAGACCCACAGCGCACTTCTAAATGCAGTGCTTAACTTCTGTTTCTCCTCTTACGTCAGAGGAATAGGGACAAGATTTTACAGAATTTTTCTGAGGCCAAACTCAGTTATAACTAGTTCATAATATATAAAGCGTCAGCACCTACCAACAAAAGAACATATTTATTTCCCCCACGCTGGACAAGAGACTTGTATCATTCTAGGGCAAAAATTCAGATGTCAGATTCATATCTTAATGCAAACTAGAAAAAAAAGGCCTAGAAAATGCCATGAAGTCACATGCTGACACATATTCTCTCCTTAACAAAATACTTTTCCTGCTGTGAAGCTTCCTTCTCGAGACTGATTTAAATTAAAAAATGGGAGGAAACATTTAGGTTTGTATTATGAATGGAGCTCTTGTAAACAGTTTACCTTCCCTTTAAGCATAACTAAAGCCTAATCTCCTCCGGGAGTACAGAGATTATCACAATAACATTATCACAATAACAATACGTATAGTCCTTTCAATGAGACTAAAAGGGCTGCTGAATAGTTGTAGGCAGCGCCAAAGCTCCTCTTTTCCTTACAACACAGAATCAGATTTTGGCAACACGTGTTTTCTGATAAAGCCTTTAAAAGGCTGGCAACATTGCTAGCTTCCCTGCTTCAAGAATATAGCCCTTCTGGATTGTTTTGGAACGTTTTGGTACAATTTCTGCAGCAAACAGGCAGAAGAGGACTGCAGGCTGCTACCTCCGAACACACGACTGCAGAAACCATTAGCAGCAGCATGCTTTCCAAAAACACGTAGCCTGTAATAACTTACTGCCAAGCTACAGACTTCATTTAGAACAAAGATGTAGATCAGCATCCCTAATGAGTTCCGGGTACAAATTCTTTACCATTGACTTACGAATTAGCAAAAACTTCAGGTTCTGAGGAAAACAAAACTAAACAAAACAAAGAGAGAGACACTGGGCTTTTACACGTGAACTAGTGAAGTCTGAGTTTCAGCCTGTTCTTAGACATAACCCCCCCAAAGGAGCATGTGCCCGAGTTTCACTCTCGGGTCAAATTCTCCAGTCAGCAAGGAGAGCAGAGAACTGGGCCTCCCGAGTCAGAGGCAGATGTGGAAAATCCTTTGTGCTACAAAGCACCTGAGCAAAGCAACAGGTCCATCGCCTAGCCCACTAGTACCTTCTAGTAAGACCACAGTGTCTAGCAATAAGCTGGACTAACTCACGTCAATAGAGCAGCCAAGGAGAGAGCCTTTCTGAAGTGCCTTCTGAATGATTTTGAAGAGGTTGGACGGTGCCTTCTGCAGCTCATACCATTCTGCAATTCCACCAGTGAAATCTTCAAAGCCTTCCGTGGTGGTGCCCCCAGAAAGAGACTCATAGGAGCCATTCAGCCTGCATGAAAGCACACACAACCACCAGTTTCCCTAATCTCCTCTTCTCTTGGAGATCAGCACTCAGCTGTGCAAGAATGTTGCCACAGTGTTTTCACTTTCCGTGGCACCACGGCAGTTAATGCCAGCTACAAATGGATGCCCTCCCAGCTTTCCTTCTTACACCTCTGTACGTGGAAAGCCTATCTAAGGGCTAACATGATCACTTATACAGGTTGCAGGTTTAGTCACATCAATTACAAAAATCCTGGACATAACTGAAAAAAGATAAATAAAATTCAAGAAACAACAATTTCCCTCCCTAGATTTGCACTGTCTTCCAATCCCTTTAAAGACTATTCACCTGATTTTTAGCTGGTCTAAATTAGCTCAGTTTCTTAAATCAATTAAAAGAGTAATGATAGATGGAAGAATTCCTCTCTGACCATGGCAAAATTGGAAATTCAGATTGGAGCATCTTCATGTTGAATGCAGATCTGGACATGCGGACTGACATGCTATGCATACTGAAGCACTGCAGTTGGTATACCTTCATATGGCCTTAGAGCAGATGAAACTGAGCTTCCTGGACCCAAGTGACATGAGACGACACTCCAGGAACAGGCTTGCTATGAGATGCCAGAGCTATTTTTCTTGGCTGGCAGCAAGGACAGTACTTTTGACTATTGTCTTCAGCACCTGTCAACAAACCTTCACTAAAGCAGTCACTGTGAGATATCCTAGAGGTTTTAAAGGCTAACAATTAGACTGACATTTCAACGGCATAGCTGCAGATACTGCAGGGAAGCACGAGCAGGAGACTGAGCGAGGAAGAAGTAATTTCCGTTGTCTACAGAAGCCAGTCCTCTCCCTTACTTACTTGGCATAAGCCTTCTCCAGCAGGGCGCTCCAGAACTCACTGCCCTCCGCTGAATGGACGAAGAGCAGCTCCCCGTTCTTGGTGGGCAGCCTGTCGTCAATCACAACATCCACCCACTCCCCGTACTGCCAGAACTGCAAAGAGAACGTCAATATCCAGTCACCACCCCATGCCATGTACTCAGGTCACAGGGACATTTTTCTCTAACACCAGTTTCCTAGGAGGAAAACAAGCCTCCTGGCAGTCAGCTTAGCCTGCGCTGTACAGGAATCCATGTCCTCAGTTGGATCTGCTGATGGAGGAAGAATCACAAACAGACCCTCCACTCCTGGTTCTTTGGTTAGCAGGCGTTCTTCCTTCCATGACCACCCCTCTCCTCGGATTTCTCTCAGTTTTACGCCTGGCTCTTTGATGTCCCTTAAAACGTTCCAGGAAACGCCACACGTGTAGGTCCGGCCTACCTCACACGTGTTCCTGACTAACCACAGCCAGGGGAAAGGCAAGATCCGGTTTCCCACACACCTGGAAGTGGAAGATTCCTGCATAATTATCCTGGAAGCTCTGATCTTTGGGAACGACACGGGCAAGAATTTCTTCATTCAGGGTGAGAGATGCAATAGCTGCCAAGAGCCAACAGTCTCCTGTAAAAAAGATTACACGAGAAAACATTATTGGTGAGCACATTGGTGAAAACATTTTGGAGAACACAGGGATTACACATTATTACTTGCATATTGATCATCAAGATTTCTGAGGCGATTGCTCACCTCTCAGAAAATCAATCATCTCAGGTATTTCAGAAGAAGATCCCTCTCATTCGTTTTCCTCTAAGGCAGATCAGTTGTACATACACAACTACTTCCCCCCTCCCAAAAAGAAAAAAAAAAAAAAACAGAGAGGTAGAAATGGGCTTTCTATGATCTATCAGTAATCACCCATGCTTGGGCTATTTGAAAGAAAATTTCATGTTCAATTAAGTATCTACAGGTTAGGAAACAGCATGGGGAAAAAGGCAAAGAGCAGGACCTATTGGCACATGCAGGAACTCCAGATGTGCTGTTTCCTCTCACAGTACCAATATTTTCACAAGCAGAGGCTGTTTTCTTTTCTCTCCTCCATGTTTCATAAATGGTTATTGACTTGCCATGCAGAGATTTGTCCTAGGCACTAGTTCTCAAAGTTCTCTTGCAAGACTCCTATCAAACAGGAACGCCTTTGATATTATTTATCTCTGGAGGCACTAGCTAGAGGTCTCCTGACTTAGTCAGACATCTAGTCTCTGACACTAGCCACCAGAGTCAGGAAAGGTCTGAAGGCAGGCACTGTTTCCCAGTCCTACAGACCTCTTTACCCTTCCTGGGACGGAGCCAACATAAACGGAGTCTGCATGCCAGAACCCCAGAGTACAGGCTGTTTGGGTAGTATTTTTCCACACCATCTCGTATTAAGCAGAGAGAGAGGAGACTGCATCTACAAAAACATTACCTCTATCTTTGGTAATTATTGTAAGAAACTAATGCTATTTTAATAGCGTGATTACCTTTCTGCTCAGTCATGGACCTCCTGCAGCACATTAGCAAGGTGACTAGAGATACAGAGACTCAGATGACCCCCTGACTCCCACAACCCATAGTAGGAAACAGAATTTCAAAACTCCTCGTTACCATTACCAGATCTGCCTCTGCCTTGCCCTGTAAACACAGGAATTTACACATGAGCTTCTCTTTCTCTCATAAGGCCAATCCCACAGAATCATCCTACAGTAGGATGTAGTGTAGGATTGCAGAACTGCAGATTCAAGAAACACAAACCAGATACAGCTGCTAGAAAGTCAGAGACCAGCAAAGCAATGGTCCCTGTATAGCCAGCTGCCTCCCTTAGAAAAAGGGTCAAAAGCTCTCAAAGGAAAAGTTTGGGCTTACGGGAGTGGTTGCAAGAAAGTCTTAGGGATAGTTAACTCGAAAGTAGTTCTTGAGGGCCACCCAGTACCACTTAGTTTTCCTCCAACAGCTTAAACCCAGTACCACTCAGACAACGTTAGGAGGAATGCAGGCAACTTGCAACTCCCTTCAGGCTGTCCATCCCTTTCGTAGCTATTCCCCATCAACAGCTCACTGGATGACATTTGTCCTAATGTTCTTCGCACATCTCAGGCAAGGGAGAAGATGTGGAATTTCACCATAATTTTCAGACCTAGGATGCTTTTACTATTCCATAACCTAAAGGGGAAGAAATGGACATAAAACTCTCCCTTCACCCCTACATCTGGCTGCTTGTATTGCAGTGCAGAAACCATTGTATCAAAGAAGTTTTTCAAACAAGAAAACCTTTTTTTCCAAACAAGAAAGTCACCTTGTCATTCTACTCTGACGGATCATGAGCAACAAGGCTGTTTCCCCTCTCTCCTCTGCAACATAGTAGGGTCATCTCACCCTGCAAAATGGTGACTCTTATTACAGTCTCCTTCGTAGCACTGAGACCTCCCTGGAAGCTGCGTAGCCTCAGGTACCATTCATGCATTCAGAGATACTGCCAAGCACAGCAATTGTGCTTGCTGAGAAAGAGACTGTGGCCAGAAGACACCGGAAACATGAACTATATTATGGGACTAATTTACTATTCACAGTATGACCCTCCATCACCCATTACGCGAGGGCTTCAGTACTTGTATTTCACATCAATCCTCCTTCAGAGGACGACGTTACAGGGCTCTGCAAACGCACCCTTTAGCCAAAAGGAAACAGGACTTCAACTTCGGTTCCGCATAGATCTATGCTCTGTCCTGTAGACAGTTTGCCTGCAGAAAGTGATTATTGTTGTTGTTTCTTCATTCTTCTAACAAAGAAGTCCTCAAACAAACCTCATCACGTGCTAAGCACGACATGCCTTTGGAAGAGAACTCCCAGAAATTCTCTCTATACTGAAAATCCTTGTATTTATCAGGTCTCCAAAACAGGCAGTTTCTGGACAAGAGTTGGTGTTCTTGTCCTGGAGACAATTCCCTGGTAGAAGACAGCCCTGGCGCTTTGACTGGGGCTCTCGCTTCACATGGTGAGACTGAATTAATATCTTATTGTCTCCCCTCCTTGGTTTTCTCCCACTGGCACTCATCTAATTGCACTGCCTGTCAATTCATTAACCTTACCAAAAAAAGGTCTTTCTGTCACTTTACTGAGTTAAAGGAGGTCCAGACTCTTCTAGGTCAAGACAGCAGTGGGTTATCACATTTTGGCAGTGGAAGTATTGTATGTCAGAGACACTCTGCACAGTGGGAAGAGGATGTAAATACTCATGCGCACTGGACTAGCAGTTCATCACAGCAACATACTGCAGGAGCAGCTATGAATTAGCTGAGCACCCTGCAGGGCTGTAAATTCCTAAAAGAAGAAGGCCTAAAAGAGCTAGGAGCTTCATTCTCTCCACTACGCCGCTGTCCCTCACGGAGGAAGAATCACTGACACTGGGGAAAAATTAGCAAGCCTTAGCGCAGCTTTTGGTAACTTCTAACAAACAAGCAACCTTAAAGCACCCTAAACACTAGTTACAGGCATGAAACAAGTCACACATATTCAGGCTGACAGGATAACTGGCCTCATCTCAGCACACAGGCCAAATAGCCTATGCAATGCAGAGACTCAAAAGTCTCTTGATTACAGTTTATCACTAGGGCTGCATATAGGAGCTAGACCTGTCCTGTATTCTAGGCTACCAGTCAAACTTCTTTAAAGGAGTATCTTGAGTACACCTATAGAGCAAAACAAAGGTGCAGCTGCAGCACGGACAAACGACGGTACAGCCAAGATGACTTCTCCACTGCACTGTTCTCAGCCATGCTCGTCTCTCTGAAACTACAGCTCAGGCAATAGTGACAGAGGTTTGCAGAAAACTTAGCATACTGAATTGTATCTACCCTTTCCCTTCCCTTTCCCTTCCATCCTACTTACTCTCTTATCTCAGAGAGAGTACCAGGGTTCCCCCACTGGGCTGCCCCTGGACGTAGCCAGGCCTACAGCGAGGACACCTGTCCTAGCTGGTGCCAGACGAACTCAGACCTTAACTTGGGCAACTCTGGGCAAGGGCTTCTTGAGGTTAACAGGCAGAGGCAGCACACATCAGGGATCCACCATCCTCTGCTTTCCACATTCAAAAGCGCAACAACAGTCAGGGTATCAGCTCTCACTTTCTGAACGGTCGTCACTAGAAGTAGACCTAATAATTCAAAGCCTGCACGAGAACAGATCTTGCGATACTACCTGGAGTTTTAGCTCGCACTAAGAAGGCCTGAGCAGGGTCACTACCAAATAACCTTTCCTTAACAGTTTCTTGAAGGCTGACAGCACCGTTAGCAAGGCTAGGTTAATCACGGAGGGTTTTTGTAAATGCACAATAAAATAGGCAGAACAGTTATTAGAAAAGTGGGTATTAGCAGACTGTGAGTTTATTTGTAATAACAGGAAGTAGGATTTTTTTTTCTTTTTTTCTATCATGCTTCCTGTGTGCTGCTATCAATGCAGTGCTTCTTATTTTATACATCCATTGGTGCATTTACTTAATCTCCAGTTGGGAATAAGAATATCACAAAAAATGTAATTGCAATGCATGCATAAATATCCATACAGAGTTTGGCTTAAAATTGGCCATCCTTGGAGAGATAAGAGAGGCAGAGCTTCTCCACAAAGCATCTAGAGGTGTGTAACCGAAGGGCTGCTCCTCTCGTGACTACATACCCCATATAAGAGTACAAGCTCAAAGGAAAAAATGCACTTTCAGCCAATCACAAAACATACCAGTATTTTAAAACATTCACAACTATAGATTAACAACTACATCAATGACTGAATATATTTATGGTAATAACACAGAGCTACAGGAAGTTATCTAGTTAGAAATAAGAGGCTGAAGCAACCCACCCATAACTCAGCAGTTCCTAGCACAGGAAAATCACACATCTAATTTTCTAAATTCATCCTACTCAATTTATTATTTTTCCACACATTTTTGTTTAAGGAGGAGACATCTGCGTCTGAACAACAGATGAGAGATACTGTACTGTATACGTCCCACTGTTGTGATACCATGGTGACCTCCCCTCCAAAGAATGCGGTTAAGGGTGAATAAGCTTCCTTTATGCAGTGGCATCGGTTCCTCTCTTCTGCTATAGTGAGTCACTACATCCCATTCGTTGCCGCTCTCGGCCAAATACCCTAACTAACTGCAGATTTGATACTGCGAAACTAAAAATCGGTTAGTTTTTAAAAAGTTATTTTTAAATATTAGTTTTTAAAAGCCTCTTTGAAAAAAGCAAAGAAAAACAGAATAATAGATTAGTCAAAGCCCAAAGGAAGAACTTTGGTGTCTGGAGAATCTAAACTGCTGCCTTGGTGAGGGCACAAGCTATTCCATGCCGATAATCAAACAGGCCTCTTAGGCATCACAGTTATCATCCAGTACAAAAGACAAAAACAATCACTGGCTACATGAAACAAATTTAATAGGCTGCATCTGGCCCAAAAGCCAAAGATCTGAGGCTAAAATGAAGATTTGTACCAGTGCTCACTGAGGGACAGAGCTGTTCAATGATATGTGCCCTGCCATAACCCCTGTTTGCTCCAGCGATAGAAACATGTGCTTCTGGATGCCTGTCCCCCTGGATGTTTTGACTGGTTTAGAAACAGCCATCAAACTCCATGGGGACGCTGCCCTGTCCCCTTGTGACCAGAGCTGCAAGTAGGCTATAAAAGCTGTATATGGAACAAAGTAGCATAATAGAAAGTGCAGGCTTCCAAGAGCACCTGACATCTTCCAGTGCAATCCCCTCTGGAACACCCAAAAACGTTACGGGATATCAGTGTCTGCACAAAAAAATTCAAGTGAATAAAGCTTAAACAAATGTATCAATTCTAACGCTAGTGTCAAACTAGGCAGCAGCAACAAAATGCATCTGTACAGCACAGCTGTTAGCCTCACTTTGTGAAAAAGGATTCAATACAGGCACTTAGTGACTCAGTGGCTAAACACTAGATAAAAGATCAACAGCATCTAATTTTAGTCGGCAACTAAACTGACACAGAATACCAAAACCCTGCCCAGATTCATAGGAAGATAGCGCAGCTAGTCATAGTCGGTTCTGTCCAAAACTGTGAAACAAACAAGAACACTAACAATTTCCTATTAAAACATTGTTTCAGGTGGTAAAAGAACACAAGTGGTGAGCCAGCTCATATCCTTTGGTGGTAACACGCAACCTCATGAGAGCATCCACACGGACTGGCCCAAACACCTGTCAGGAAACAAATTCTTTTCACCAATATATGAGAAAGCTTGGTAACAGCAAAAACAACTCCACAACTTGAAAGTTAAGTTGCAAATCCTTAACTACGGTACTATTGCTGCCACAACATGCAGACAGAGAAGCTGGAAGCCTAGCGAAGGCAGAAGGCAACTAAGTGCCTTCAGAAACAAGCGTCTCTGCAAAGTGTTTGCTGTTAAAATGACTGAAATTACAACAGACTATAATTTCAAGTTGAACAACTCCTTAGCTGTAAAGTTTCACAATAAAAATGAGGAAAATATCCAGCACAAGTATTAAGTGTTGGATCATGTATTGTGCCAAAACATTTGTCATGGGAGACAAGATACTGGGCAGAGAGAAAACATGTGAAGGAAGCTGACCAACAGAACGCGCCTAGCCCTTTCTTCCGAAAGGGTAACGCAGGCAACGTGCCAAGGACTTCACAACAGATACAACGGAGCCTAATCCACGCCACAGGTGATACTGGGGCATGAGAAGAATTAAATTCACAATCTAAGGTATTTTGATTTCCAGGGCTCTTTTACACCAATTGTGTCTTATTGCTAAAGTACTAACCAGAATAACCTCTGAAAGAACTGTTATAAATGCAAAACGCCTGAAATGAGCCTTCCTACCTGCTATATATTTTGTACGATAAAACACAAATAGCAGCAGCAGGACTAGAAACTAATAAGCAGCAATATCACCAATTTTATGCTGATGGAAAGCAAACAGACCCATGGACTTCACTCTTTTGCCAATTCCACTGAGAAAGCACAACAGTGGAAACGAACAGCATATTAGTCACGCTTCCCTACACAAAGACTGAGAAATTTCCCCTCAATTGCACTGTCAGTCTAAACTGAAATCCTGAAAGCTTTCTCTGTAGACAGTCATGTAATAAGTACCAGACTCGCTGTTTCCGCCTTAGCTTCTCTCCTCTCCTATGTCTGTATTTCTCCTCTTTGCCTGTCTCCTCGCTCGCTTCGGGGAAGAGAAGCGTACAAATACTCAGCCTCAAACTCCTGGTAGACAAGGCAGGAGAAATGCTCAGAGACAGAAACGATGGCGCACACCGAACCACGTGAGCAAGTCCCTTCTCGCTCCCCTCCGTGGAGCAGCCGCCCCTTGGGCTCCCAGGGCTCCTCCGGAGCGACCGGCTCTAGGAACTGCCCTTGCACAAACTTGGTGGTGGGCAGGTCAAAGGCAAATGGCTCGCATGCAGGTACACAAAGGCATGCCCACCCCTCCTGAAAAATACCAGCTTAGTTTTGCTTGCGAGCTGATTAGCACTATGGCATCTCTCTTCATAACTTGTTTACTCTGTATTGCATCATTACGGGTTTCAGGGGATCCTGCCTGCTCCACAGATCTCTGTGCCACTGGGCAAAAAAAGCGCCATGAAACACACACAACTGTTCTCCTAGGCAGATTATTAATAGCAGGAATTAGTCACGCTCCTTGGCATACTGCTGTCAGGCACATGGGTACTGAGGCGAGGAGCGCATGACAGGAGCTGGTCGCGATCAGAAGATGGGCACACGTCACCAGTACTCCTCGCGTACAGCAAGGCTGCATGCAACGGACGAGCAGATGCGGTCCCAGTCTGCAGCTATGAAAGAAAGGCAAGTAAGATCAAATCCGATACAAAGGAAGATGGTAAGGTGCCAGAGGATGTAGCTACAGAGTGAATTATAGCAAAGCGGTAAGCCAGACAGCGCGGGAGCAGGGGACTCCGGCGTCCTGCAGTAGCACTCGCGCAGTGCGTTGTCTCCATCTTACCTAAAGCTCCTTGGCAGATGTCTGTGCGAGTGGCTCCGCCAGCTATGAACTGGGGGTTGGCGCACAGCTCCTGGGGACGAAACAAGCGGTAAGCGTACCGGGCAGACAGCAGAGGGGACAAAGTCCCTATCGCAGGAAATTTAACCCAGCAACTTTTACAGCAGAAGGACGACGCCAGGGAGCCGGTCGGGAACGAGCGTGGGCAGCGAACGAGCTGAGCGCGGTGAGAGAGGGAGCTCGTGGCCAAAGCCCGGTGGGCAAACATCTACCTGCGCAGCACGCGCCAGGCAGCCCGCGCGCGCCGCTCTGCTGCTGCCTCCCTGCCACCGCC